CGTGATGCCTCGTCCATTTTCTTGATCTGACCAGCTTGGAAACATTTTGCGAAGTGTACAAATTATGAAGCTCTTTGTTAGGCCGAGAGAATTTGCCGGAGCTCTGTCGTGCTCCCTCTGTCTTGGGTCAAAACATTGTCCTCAACACTTTTTTTTAGAGTTCGCTGCTAATCTGTGTTTGTCCTTACGGAAAATACCAATTTCCAATTCCATATAGAACAAGTTAGGTTCTAGGTTTCAATGTTTTAATTTTGGTGTTTTCAGACTGGACGATAAGAGTCTGCAAGAATCTGCTCTCGTAAGACGTCTAACCACCAATAATTCCAGAACGTTGTTTGTTTCACACGAACTGCTGGAACCATAATAACGTGCTCGCGTAACTAATATTTGTTCCTTGCACAATAATTATATATGAAGCTGTGACGGGCGTAGACTACAAAATTCAATAAATATCCAAGTTTATTAGGTTAATTTCCGGAGTAAATATTTTCATGCCAGTTTTATATGGTACTGCATGCGTGGAAAACAACTGAAGTGTACGGTCCACAAACGCAAGGCCTAACTTAGCTTGTACCTTCTTTGGAATCCAGCAACAATTTAGAATTTGACACAGCGGGATGTCGAGTGTCATACCAATTACGTGAACGGCCGGTCATTAGACTACAAGCCTTCTGGCATCTGGGCTCTGGAGGGCAAGTCAGTTGAATATTAACAATAAGCAGCAGGAAGGAAATGTCTGTTCATGCAGTTGAAGTTTTAAAATAGTTTAGCTAACCAATCAGAGTCTGCCTCTGACGGACGAGGCTAAATATAATTATAAAAGAGTGATTGACTTCAACCAATCACGTACGCCGAATTCAAGGAACGGTTGAGGGGGGGGGGATATTTGGAAGTCCGCGGAATTTTGAAACTCCCACGCTTTTGCATTGGATGGACGTTTTTCTGTTAATCAGGAAAACTCTGTAGAGAAATTTCAGTTTTAAGAACAAGGATAGGAAATATTCTGTAAGTCTGTATAATTAGAAACTGATTTACAAGTTCGTAATATTGTTTTAGTTAGAAGAAATTAGAAATCTCAGAATTTCAGAAAGGGCAATTCGTGCCTAATGGCATTACTGACAACATTTTAAAATACGTTTATTTTCTTCTTCTAATTCTTCTCCTCAAACGCCACAGTCCGTTGTGGACTTGGCTTCCAGTCCAATTTTCCTCCATTACTGACGGTCCATAGCAACTGCATGCCAGTTTCTTATTCCCACAATCTTCAAATCCTCTTCAACTTTATCTGTCCATCTCTTACGTGGTCTACCTCTTTTCCTTGTTCCTTCCATTCAAATTGTCATTTTGTATTATTGTTTCGCTGCCCTGAAAATTACCGGGACTTCCAATCCAGCCAGAAGACCAACCAACTTTACCGTGAAGATGGCTGTCTTCTGGGTTATTGCGCTCTGATGATGGAGGCAGCAAGGACCTCTAAAACGTCGGTAAACTTCTACCAGACTACATGGCGCAACGACCCAGAAGCCAGCCATGTTCAGAAAACCTCAAATCCTAAAACTTTACCATGTTGACCTTGAGATCCTACGCTGAAATACTGACTCTAGTCAGACTATTGCTAGCCAATTACTGAGATTTACGTTGTGTTATTTTCTCCAGTCACTTAATCCTTGTTAGATCCGAATATTCCTCTCGGCATCCTGTCCTCAGACACATTCAATCGGCGTTTTTAAGTTAAAATCAAAGATGAGGTTTCGCACCCAAAAAATGTCACTGAATTTGGTCTGTTCTTAATTTAGTCGTGAATGCATTCCTAATTACTACCACCGTTCCATTTGCTGCATTTTCAAAGTATCTATTCGCTTCCTTTACACATTCTTGATAACTAGATCTTTGGCTCGGGAGCGTTTGCTGATGTGACCTCATTATCGCTGTCCCTTGGTTTTCGTGTCACTAGTAACTCCCCTGCTTAATCCCTATTCGTTTGTTGATAGAACACTTGTAATGGCGACGTTGCCTCAGCAGTAACTGATACAGCATCGTGTCATAACTAACCCAATGTATCATAACCATCCTTTTGAAGACAACATTCGCTCACCTGGTCACGCACTGAACCTGCATAACGTTATACGCCACGTAGGTCGCTTGGGGGGAGAGCTGGTATAGCTCCTATTAATTCTTGACTTTGGCGCTAGATGGGGGTGGTGCGTGGTCTTCGTCACCGCCAGAACTGCTCAGAATTTAACAGGAAATACATTTTCTTTTGATGCCAAATCATTCTGGTGACAGACTACAAATGTGGCTGATGCCAACAAAACTCGGGAATTGAGCGAGACGGCTTGGATGCACACGAACCGAGAACAAGCGAGCGCTGTGTATGCGAGGTTTATCGTCAGGCTATTAATCATTATGCATTAAGTGTTTAAGACGGCTGCCCTTGTGGCAGAGATAACGGCTGTAGTCAGACACATCGCAGCCGAAAGAGACTCACGAAAAGATGTTGAGCAAAAGAACAGCTCCGTTCTGCGTAAACGTGTCCCTGTGCTTGCATGAAGACGTGTGGCGGAATGGAGGTACAGCTCCACTCGCCGGCTGGTAAACAGCATTGAATGGGACAGTTTTCTGTACGCTTTTAAGAAGCGTTCTTTTTTTCTGGATTTAGCTGGACTCCTTGTGCACGGATTCGTCCCGTCGCAAAGGCTTTTACCTACACAGAACACAACAGGACAGAAAACGCGGGTTCCTGAAGAAGGACAGGGACCCGGTGTTCTAGCGGTTAGCCCGCTGTGACCGGTTTCCATATTATTTAATGACGTCATTGTCCTCTGTTTAAAACTGCATCGTATTATTATTGTTGTTTGATGTCATGTCCTGCCAGTGCTGTGCACGTATGTTGAGAAATGCAACGGAGGATAATATCTTCCGTGTTTCCCACTTCTATAACTCCCTCCCGTACTTTTCGTACCTTTATCTCCTTCCTAGTTCCTTCCTCAAACCCAATGTTCTAGGACTGCTTCGCCCTTCTCTTGAATCTCATCCATGTTTTCAGTTCGCACGTGACATCCTCAACCTTTTTTGTTCGCGTGCCCCCAGATATAATTTCTCTTCAACTTTGTACCCCCTAAGATGTTGGTGTATAATTCAAGTTATACATAGTATATAATATACATCTAAAATAAATTAAATAAATTACATTACTGATTATATATTTATTTTAAATTTCACGTACCCCTTAAGATGTATTCGCGTACCCCAGGTTGAATACCACTGCTCTAAAGCGAATTATTTTAGTATAACATTTCTTTCCCAACTAGTTCACAAGCTCACATTAAACAGAGTAATGCCCGCAGTTCATAACAACGTAGCGTACAATACCAATCAGACAGGATTTATTCCACTGAAACTACGTCATCGAGAGTAACGCAATTATACAGTTCTGTCTTTTGTAAATGGGTCATATATAATAGACGAAATTTTGTTAGGAACAGGCGAAGGTAGGCAAAATGGCTGCGGGAAACGAAAATGGAAAGGAAGTTGTGTGGACTGGCGAAATGGGAAAATAAAATGTTTGGACGCGAGCATGCAAGATTGGCCCAGGTCGCAGAACATTTTCAGATGTGGCCATCAATGGAGTTTTCCTTTTTCGGATTTGGGTCGCGTATCTTCCTCTGATTTGGACTAGTACTCGCATTCCTGAGTTTAAGTGAATTTCGGCTGTGAGTCTCCTGCCAGATTCGGCGTCAGGAGATTTGTAAGATCTTACAGTTGCACGGCAATCATTTTCACAGGACTCCATCAACAACAAAACAGCATAGCGCAGAGATCATCAGAGAGTAAACACTGCACATTTACGTCATGTGTTTGACTTTCATAAAATGTTGTTGTACTTGTAATTGTCATCCTAGTCGTAACTTTGTGTTCTACTCCGAAAGTGGAAATTTTTCAGAAAATTTCTGAAGGTTTTTCAGAGCGAGAGTTTACGTCCATTCAACCACGCGCGGAGAATGGTGTGTGTGTGTATGTGTGTCGGGGGTGGGGGGTTGGTTATACGATGCCTGATCATTCTACTTCCATGACTGGAGAAGTTTCCGATGAAGCACGAATTTATACGTGTGTATCTTAATCAAGCTTAATTGCACGTGAAAACGTGGCATTAGACAATTAATAGAGCACCAAATCAGGTGGGTTTGCCTCCTTATTGACGCCTACCACCAAAAGAAGACCGTATAAATGAGTAAGATGCTTACCAGGGGCTCACAGCTGCAATAATTCAGAAAATATTTATATTCTAACAGTTACCTAAATGTAGCTTCATATAAGTTGCGTTTCTCGATACGCTCCTACGTGCTTGATGAAGAGGATGTGTTTGTTGCTGGTGGCGTTGTAGCAACACTCGGTTGTCTTTAAATAAGACAGCCGCATGCAAAGAATTTTCCAATAAACAATTTGAGGTGTAGACAGAAGAGCCGTGGTTTCTGGTTTGCATCAACCGGTGCAACCACAGATCCGGCAGCGATGATGGATACACACAGAAGACTGGCTGCAGTGCGTTCCTGCAACCACAACGAACCTACTGCCCTCAGCTTCGTAGTAGGCAAGGCAACGAGAAAATATTTTAAGCAACAAATTTTAATTTCTGAAACGTCATCTTCTTTCCTTGCTTAAGGTCGTCAGTTAGCTGTAGCCTTAAGCTATTAAGAAGTAAAATGTCGGCAGGGAAGGTCCGGAAGTAACTCTCATCCTAAATGGAGCTCTATGAGAACACAAAGGCCTAAGAATTTGGAGCATGTCGACCGTCACGGGAACTGGAGATTAAACCTTAAACTGACATTTTTCTTGCTTCGAACGAAGCCGCGAGGAAGGGGTTTACGTCGACATTTTTTTTTTTCATTGCAGAGACTTCATTGGCGGGAAAATCATACACTGAAAACAGATGCACATGAAACGTGGAAGTCTTTTCTTTGACTGTGACTGTGAGTAAGGTACATAGACTTGAGACTCACCCAGAAGCAGGAGGGTGAGGTCGGACACGGCGAGGCTGAACAGGTAGTAGTTGGTGGCAGTCCGCATTGATCTGTTGCGCGCAATCACCACGCAAACCGCCACATTGCCGATGATGCCCGACACAAAGATGACGACGTAGGTCACGGTGATCGGCAGCACCACCGCGAGAGGCAGACGTTTCGGCCCCAGCGTCCTCCCGAGATACTGCTCTATGGATTCGTTCATAGAACCGAGACTGGTGTCGTTGTCTGAACTGCCCAGCAGGAGAAAATCCGACGCACTCATTTCAAGAGTTCGTAAAACGGCCTGAACAACTTATGACACATCTATAAATTTTCACTGGAATAATAGGGGTGGCGGTATTATGTGATACAAAGAATGCCCGCAGGAAAAGATCACCACCAGTCAACGCTCAATCACAAAAACTTCAGAAGAGATTTACTCTTCGCACGGTCATGACTTCGTCCATCATTCTAATCGACAGACGCCTTTTGCCTGAAACAGAAAACAAATGTCTTATTTCTTCTAAACTATTTCGGACTATTTGTCTGCTCGGCGTGTTATTTCCAACGTCTCAGAAGTCTGCGAATTATGAATGTGAATAATATTTTAAGTTTCGATTATATTACTGACATACTTCTCTTGTAATAAGAACCAAAACTTGAACTCGATTTTAAATTATCGTAATGCACTCAACATACCAGGAATTTGTGACAAATTTTAACATCATCTTCCGTCTACAAGTGGCTTCCGACATAAATCCTAAAGAACGATTTAAATTCTTACGTCAATCATTTTTAATTTGGCGAGTATTGGAAAATTTTCCGTAATTAAGACGGCTGTCTGATGGGTTGCTGGAGGATGTAAGTTGGTAAAATTCCACCAGACCACGCAACCCAGCACTGACAACCTCAGATCTCACCAAATATTCAATCGATCTTATGCATAAATAAGCAACTAATCCCTGTATAAAGAAATGAGCAGAAACTGGCCCAGTGGATGTTGGATTCAATAACAGTTACGTGCATCTTTATTACATTCCATGGATCCTTAACTCAAATGATAAAATAATGTGGAATAAATCTTAATAATACAATACATATTACATATATTATAAATGCTGTTCATACTGTTATAAACTTTCATATATTCTAAACACAAGGTTCACGTAAACAGTGATATGTTACAAATACATCTACCAATTACATTCAGTAGATAATTCGTAACACCCATTTGTGCTACACGAAGACAAGAAAACCTTAATGAACACTAAAAATTTATGAACAAAGTAAAATAAGTGTTTAATTAAGTGTCTTTTTAATCCTACCTTAAATTGTAGCTCTATATTTATGACTTGTGATAGTTAATGGTACACTATTAAAACGGATGGAACTAACTTAATATGCACTCTTCTGAAAACACTAGAGGTTGAAAACTGGTCTGTGTAACTGAGTATTTTTCCTTGTACGCATTGACTCTGTGTATAGCGGAATTAATTTTAAAATGCTCTTGGTTATTTACAGCGAATTTCTTTAATGAGAATATGTATTCACATAGAGAGCTAAGTACGATCTATAAATTCCTAAACTGACGTCTTTATGATTTCATGGGCTTGACACGAGCCATTAAAGTGAATATTTTTTCTCTGTTACAAGAATTACCTCCCCAAATTATTTCACAATTCATTCCCTATGAAATGAGTATTTAAACAAGTAACCAACAAAGTAATTACCTCATTTACTAAATAATCAGCTAATTCACTAAAACGTTAATGACTTTCCGGGCTTCTCTAAGCCCCTCTCATGAGGTATTTTGAAATGGGGGTGTAGCTCCACTCGTTTTTAACCTCGGCACTAGATGGAGATGAGTGATGAGCTTCAAGCCCCGACTGCCTTGCACCCGGAAAACGAATCTCCGTTTTTCGTCATACGAGACCGCGGTTCTCAAAGAAGGTTTGATGTGCTGGCGAGGAGACGAACCCTGATCCTGTGGGAAATCGAAGCCTGATCGGCCTACTCACCAATAATACACAAACGAACTAAATAAATATATCCTATAAGTAATTAATTTCGTCACGATGATAAAATTACCCAATTCCGTAGCAAAGTACCTTCTGTTTCTTAGCAAATCAATCTCTGTGACGTATACGCACCTAAGGGAGCATTGTGACACCAGGAAGACAGGAAGCAGCGTGCTCTGAAGGTGTTTTTGGGCTCCAGAGCTTCAGATGTGACGAACGTACGGTACGCCTTTCGCTGCCGAGTTGAAGACGTCTGTTTGCCTCGGGTGTCTTGCAGAGGCAGAGGCAGATAAGGCCAGAAGCGCGCTCTGTTTACCCGTGTCACGTGGGATTACAACTGAAGCCCTTATTTATGGCAAACAGACGACTAACTGCTAACTAAATAATTACGCAACTAAGACTCGAATTCACTACTTAAGTAACCAAGTAGCTAACCCAGACTGTAACTTCCTAAATTTATAAAAAAAACCTGCAGTGGAGCTTGGAGTAAGCATAACTCTACGACCTAAAATCGTTTATCTGATGTTCGTACACTAACTTCTTAAGTCGGATCAGCCATCGACCAATGGAAAAGAAAGTTTTGTGTCGCAATGAAGAAAATGGGACGTCCTATTTAACATCGATTTCGACAAAAATTGATTGAACAATGAAAAACACCTATTTTATAAATTATAAATGAACGCTTCTTTTCTGCGCACCGAATCAACGGAGCAGAATAAGTCTTCTTGTACACAAACTTAGTTTTGTCCCACACAATCCATACGAGTTTAATTTAAATCCGTTCATCCGTTCATTTTACCGAAGTTTCGAAAATTTCTTTTGCGTCATCCGATATTTGGTACGTGGCTTTTTAGCAGAAAGAGAGAGAAATGAAACACTGCGAGTCTGCACTGGTACAGAGTCAACAGTATCACAGATACAAATTGCACACCGGGACGTACCTACGTCACACAGACAACCAATCACTCACACAGTACGAAGCAAAGAACAGATAAATGTGTGCAGAAGGGAGCAAAACACCCTGAAAGGAAGAAGCAACTGTAAGAGTGACATTAGCAGGAAAACTGACAAATAAAATCCTTGGTCAAAGCCAAAAACAGAATTTTACCAATGAAGAAACTACGACATTTTCCGTGGTTGATTACATCCAGGGGTTATCGGGAAGAACTCCCAAGCTCGGGGGAAAAAATGGTACAAAATTCTTCGTGAATGGGGTAGCTAATAGACAGGAAAGACAGGAACACAGACCACGTGACATAAGAATCACCGAAAACAAATGCAAAACACAATTAAGCTCGCAAACTCTATTGCGTACCAAAATTGCATAAAAAATCCTCATGCATTCTTTAACGTGCATTTAGATGTTTCAAATTCTCCTTGTTCGACATTTCTCACTTTGGCCACCAGATCGCAGCATCTCAACGCCCGCCTCACGATTTTCCTCATTCGTCATTATGTTATCACCGCTCGTAGGACATTCAAATGCACGGTCGTGCAGAACGGCACAATATCCACATCAAATTTTATCCAAATCCGCCCAGTCGATATCTATTTTAATCGACTGTGCAGACGGACGGACGGACAGGTCAATGACAGAAATTAACCTAAAGGCGGGAGTACAGCCAACTTCCGAAACGTCGTGTATATCGTATACACCTCAGTCAATGGCCAATGTCCAAGCGTCCATTTCAACATACCCTTACAGAATCATTTATCATACATATTGCCATTCGACACTTTGTAGCAACTAAAATAAAGAAAAAATATACAGATTCGAATTAAACTATGCACTGTGAAAGGGTCGATAATTAAGTACATGTTGAGGTTTAGATGTAATTAACACTAACCTAACCCAATCTGACCCAACCTAATCCTAACCTAACCCAAACCAACCTAACCTAACTTCGGGGGACAGTTTCCTTGAAAATAAAATAGTCGCTCAGCTGAATACGAAATTTCCTCTCGTTTACGGAACCCAAGCGCTGACGATGCCGTGTTCTTAAGAACCCATCACTGGGCCTTATCCTGAGCCAGATAAATCCAGTTCACATACTCATTGTCTTCTGCATGCTCGTCTCTCAACTGCTTCATCGTTTCTGATCAAAGTTCACAAGCTGAAAAGCTGCTGATACATGAAGTTGGTTGCGTCTGACTAATTAGCGAACTACAATCACATTTGTCTCTGTTCTTCTACATCGGAAATTATTCCACATTCATGACATTAGTGTAAGTGTTGACGAAATTATGACAATAATATTTCCCTGAATGACAAAGTAATGCATCCATCTTTTATAAGGCATTAAAAGACTGAAAAGTCAACAAATGAATTATAGCGAATTTATTTAGGTACATCGAAACACAGCATAAAGAAATAGTTTAAATATGAAAAATACGAAGATGAGAATTTATAGTAATCAGACGAGAACAATGCGTGAAAAAATTGATGTTAAGATCTTTCTAAGACAAAGACTGTGTTTGTGCCTTATCAAGGAATCATGATGGCGGATACGTCTATCTGAAAGCTGGTTGATGGGCATTAGAGAAGAATTTTGGTCCATCGCATGACCGAGATTGTAAGTGACAACATAAGTGGTAAAGGGTAACGAAGCGGACCTATAAAGCCTATGTCCCCACATGAATTATATGATGAGCTCTGCAATAGTTCGTTAGCTTTTGAAATTATATGTAGAGCTAAGTGCAGCTATCACCCGCCCGCCATGTTAGTATTCAACGAATTTAAAACACAAATTAAGGAACAATCAGGAAACAGCTATCTCGTAATTCATGTAGCGTTTTTTTTAGAAGGAACCTTAATATCGATTGAAAAAGTATAAAAAATGAAATCGATAAGGAATTTCGTGATTTTACGTCAAAGTAATAATGCTGACCACATCAGTGAACACGTTCTATGCACATTGCATGAGAGGCCAAAACATACGTAAACAAATGTAGACTTTACAGACCTGCAAAGCTAAACAGCAAAGACAAATTTCCCTGACGAATTTTAAGATATGCATCCCACGTGTCATGCTTCTGCTAACATGGGGCATGCATGGACAGAGTTTACTCAAATAAAGCTTATATTATTCACGGAGATATCGTGAATTAAAGAAATCTGAAAAATTAATAGCGTTGCTGTTATAATATTTGTAACTTAAATACCCTTTAGACAAGCGAGTTCCCCGAATTGTACAAAATCTGCACATTTTTACACATCATCGATTCGATAGATTTAGAAGTATATTATAATAATTCTGAATGACAGAATTTCTGGTAAGAACACTTGAATAAGAATTTAAGAAACGTCTGGAGAACGTGTGTCTGTAATTGATTCTGTGCACTATAATATTAAAGGAATTTTATGGTTAAGAAGTAATGATGTCCAGCATTTAGCGGAAGAATTTAACAGTGATTATGGACAGGTTAAAACTTATCGAAGTCTACATTCCACAGATTGCAAAGACGTTTCCAAGTGTATTCTGAGTCATGTGTCATATACTCTGATGTCTTAGTAGAGCCACAATCGAGGCGACTTCGTACGAACACAGCACTCGATATTTTCATCTGAACACGCCGACATCAACAGCAAGAATAAACGAATATAATTTAGTGACACATTTCGTATAATCTCCATGGAGACGTGAACTCGGTAGATTTAGGCCTATCGCATTGCACACATACGAAATACCCAACTTAGACGGATATTGGTCGCGCAAAGGCCTATCGCATTGCACACATACGAAATGCCCAAGTTAGACGGATATTGGTCGCGCAATTTTAAAAACTGATTTATTTGGATATCTTTAAAACTGATTCATATTCCACGATAACGTTTCAATCCAAACATTATCAACAATCACAGAACAAAAACAAAAAAAAAGTTTTTTTGTTTACTGTATAAAAACGAAGTCAACCGGGAACAGTCCAATTTCAAATTATTCATAATCTGATTGCATAAATTTTATTCTTACACACATCGGAGCAAAGTCAGCTTTCACATCCCACATGCCCCCGTTCGGTTACAATGTCAATCTCTACACAGAATTCTATTTTTAGACATGACGCACTCTTTTAAGTTTGACGACCACAGATATCGCATACTACAATTATCGGCACTAGTGCTGATATCGAACGAGAAGTTTTCTCACTTGCTACGATGGCAGAGATTTACAGAATGCAGATGTGAGATAGCGCCCAACTTTCATTGGAAATCTATCAATACTTCACAAGGGGACAGACACAAACACGTGCTTAGTGGTATGAAAAGCCTACATTTATTTTGGAATGAAAATGGCCCAGAATCATGGATTTCTAAACAAATCGAAGTTTGAGACATGATGCAGGTTGTACGCCGTCAAGGAATGGAAGCAGATGGGAGCAAGATTCCCCAGGACTCACGAGGGAGAAAATATAACTCAGGAATTTCCAGGAATTTTATTTATAAGACCTGAAGAATGCAAGGTGCTTTCATAAGTTTGCGTCGCCTTGCTGAACGTCTTTCCACCTTCTGTCGCACGTCCATAGAAACTGGTCCAGCATAAAGAATACAATTTTAATTAAAAAACCTTGCGAATACGTCCATCAATACTGCAAGAGTGAATCAATATAATCAAGAAAGTACTTGGAAAGTTAATGTCAGCGGTAGTTTCTCCAAATTGTACATCCGAGACATCTCTCCACGTCCTTTGACAAGATCACCGTCGTACGTGTTCGCGAATTTCTCTGAGTTTCTAAGCAACCAATCCGCGAGCGCCGCGTCACGGTCCTGTCCCGCTGTTGTCATGACAACCAACTTTCATCTCTGTTTCTTATATTTCTATGTACACACGCTTGCCCGAATAAAGATAACAGTTGTTAGCGATGCAAAGCAAAGTTCAAAAGCTGCGAAGAAGAACAGAAAATAGTCTATTAAAAGCGTAAACTACACACACACACACGTAGTCCATGACGTCATTCGCGGACTGCTAGGGAAGAAACCACTTGGAACTGAAAAGCAGACATAATATAAAATATATCTTAGAGAAATTTGGTTGTGATGACCTAGGTTGGATCTGGTTCAGGGTGGAAATGTTTTAACATAAAGATGAAATTTTCGGTTCTATAAAAGTCCGGAAAATTCTTCACTCGCTCGGCAACTGTTAGCTTCTGCGAGTAGTCAACACAAGTTGACTGAAAGGTTTACCGATTGTCAGATCGTGTCCTCTGACGATAAATCCGATATTCACGGGGGGGGGGGATCCATTTCTATAAACCTGTGTTACAGTAAGGGGAATTTAAACTCACATTT